AAAAAATTATAAATGTTCAGAAAATGTAAACTGCTATAGGAAAAATAAAGATGAATTGAATACATATTTACAGATAACTCTAGAATACATTAATGTATTAACACGCACCATGCAAATAAGTTAAAAAGCATTACTATTGGGGTTTATGTTAACACATGTATGGCTTATCTCAAATAAGGCACATTTAAACATGACCCTGAAATCAGTGGTTAAGTGCAGACAAGTTCTTTTAGTAATGCAATTTTCATAGTCAATTTAGGGTACTGTCCCCAAAAAGGTTGAATCAAAACAGTGACTTCTGAGGAGAGTTAGTGGGCCAGTTAAATTTAAGGTAGAGAAGGCAGCTCAGAAAATTATGTTAACTTTATTTTGAGATTCCAAAGGGGTGATCTTGACCCTTGTCTTGCGCAGTTTCGTCACAGTACAATCACTAAGGCTTATTATGAGGATGTTAGAGAAAATAAAAAATTGTACTGGTAAGAAAGATATCAGGACATTTGAGCTGAAGATAATCTAGTTATTAATATTCATCATAATCATACAATTGCTCATTTTTCAAGGAAAGCAGGGACCAGAGTGTGAAATCCTTCCTGGGAAACCTTCCTCATTGCCCGACAGTCCAGATCTCATTCCCTCTGACTTTGTTTTGTCCCCAAATTCAAAGAACTTTTCAAAGGATCATGATTTGAGGCTCTTAAAAAGATGTCAAAATCGCCATTTTCATATGAAGTCAATCAAAGGGCAAAGAATTACTTGGGGGAAATGAAAACACGGCTTTCAGAAGTGTATAGATCTAAATAGAGGATCTGTGGAGCAATAACAGCTTCCTATTTTATTTCTATAGGACATAAGGCTATATGTGAAATAAGACATCAAGGAATCTGGATGTTGTGCTAACACCGTACTCAAAACCTACGGGAGCCCACTTCTGTCATCGTTGTCACCACTGTTACTGCTGTTAGTGGAGTCCAAAGGAAGGAAGGCAGGAGCAGACGGGGAGGAAGGAGTTTGCGTGCCCCACAGCCAGGCTTGCCTGGCCATTGAACAAAGCCCTCGAGCCCTTGCTCACAGCAAAAGGAGAGCTATGTTTTGATTAAGAACAAAATCAAACAATCTATATATACATCAATTGTGTCAAGCGCATCTGTACATTTGTTGCCCTCATCATTCTCAAAACATTTGCTCTCCACTCAAGCCCCTGGCATCAGCTCCTCATCTTTCCCCCTCCCTCCCTGTTCCCCACACCCATGAACTCTTAATAAACTATAGGAAGCAATAAAATACATAAATTTCCTTTACATTTTATAGTAATGAGTTAAGTGTGGGATAATCGAGGGGGATATTGGCAATTGTTAGAAATTCAATTCTGGAAAATCAAAAGTTCTTCCAAAGGTTTCATGGAACTGATGTTAATTTTAGTACAAGGTAACTGGCTATCATTTTGTTCTCTAACTTTTTAAACAGAACTTTTGCAGCTATTCTATACAGAGAAGGTAACAAATAATAATTACTCTGAGCAAAACATTTGCATTTTTTTAGAAAATGGCATTATTCAAGGACATTTTAAAAACTAAATGAGCAGTACTTTGAATGATCTATGACCTTGACATTACTACCATGTTACTCTAGCTAAAAGAGTTAGTGAGTAAAGAAATAGGAGTCTTGTAAAAAAATAAATGAGTTCTAAATAAAAGTCCAGAGAAATATAGCTCCAAGTGAATTTATTTTAAGGGGAAGCATTAGCTACCATACCACTCTTTTCTGTTCTCAGGGAGCCCAAGGAACAATTATACTTGGAATAAGGAGTTTTGGAGAGCAACAAAGTGGGAAATTTCTCAAGAGGAAACTGTGAGGGTTTTGTTTTTGACCCACTATGAAATATATATATTATTAATATTATTTTAATATTTTACTTATATATGTTAATGTCTGATCTAGGTAAGTGAGAAGCTAACCAATTGAATATATACCCAACTTGATGTTTAATAAGGTCAAAATTAACATGTTCAGGAATGGACTGTAAAGTAGCAAATGATATCCACAAAGCAAATAACTGAAGTCCAGTCTATGTGGACCAAACCAAGCAAAAATTGGACGTAACTGGCAAAAGCAAACCTAAGTGAAAATGTTCTGTTTTGCTTTGCAGTGCAGTAGCAGCAGTTCTGACTCATAGCAACCACAAATAAAGCAGGACGAAACTTCGCCAGGTCCCAAGCCCTCCTCACAATTGTTATCTTGGAACCCATGTCATTCAGTCTCCTGGATGGTCTTCCTCTTTTTTGGTGACCCCCTTTACCAAGAACAATTTCATTTTTCAGGGACTGGTGTCTCCTAAGAACATATCGTAAGGACATGAGATGAAGGCTCACCTTCCTCACTTCTAAGAAGCATTTTGCTTTTACTTCTTCCAAGTCCAGTTTCTTTATTCTCCGGCCAGTCTATGACAGCTTCAATATGCTTCACGAGCCCTATAGCTTGAACGGATTCTCCTTCAGTCTTCCTTATTGATTGTCCAACTTTCACATGCATCAGGGGCCATTGAAATACGAGGGTTTGGATCAGCTGCACCCTCATTTTCAAAGTAACATTTTTGCTTTACAAGATTTTCTCAATGCAGAAGTCACTTGAATTTTTGACCATTGCTCCCATTTGAATTGATTGTGGATAAACAAAGTGAAATCTTTAATAATTTCATTATTTTCTCTATCGTGATGCTGTGATGTTATCAGCTTGTCCAGTTGTGAGGATTTTAGTTCTCTTGTCAATGAGTTGTACTCCACACTAAAAGCTGCAGTCCTGGACCTTCATCGAGTGCTTCAAGTCCTCCTTACTTTTGGCAAAAAAGATTTTTCCATCTATACATTGCTGCTTGTTAATAAGCCTTTCTTCAATTCTGATGCCATATTTTTCTTCAGACAATTCAGCTCCTCAGATTATTTGCTCAGCATACAGAATGAAAAAATATGGTGAAATAAGACAATCTTGATTGCACACCTTCCTTAGTTTTTAATCATGTAGTTTTCTATTGTGATCGTGGAACCTTTCACAATGATCTACATAGAACCCCCTCCCTGGGGAATGGACAAGAGAAAAGTGGGTGAAGGGAGACGTTGGTCAGTGTAAGACATGAAAAAATAATAAATTTAAATTATCAAGGGTTCATGAGGGAGGGTGGAGGAGAGAGGGGAAAACTGAGGAGCTGATACAAAGGGCTCAAGTAAAAAGAAAACGTTCTGAGAATGATGATGGCAACAAATGTACAAATGTGCTTGACACAATGGATTCATGTTTGGGTTGTGATAATAGCTGTATGAGCTCCTAATAAAATGATTACATAAAAAATTAAGGCAATAAAAATGAATAAAATGATATCAGAGCTGATTTATGATGGAGTTGTCAGAATGAAACCCTGTCAGAAATTCTCTCCTAAATCAGAGAATACCCGTGCTTATCTGTTAGTCACATTAACAACATATAAAATGATATAAATGAACTTTGCCGCAAAACCCGCATTCAGAACTCTACTTCCTTCATGCCCTTTGCTGCTGTGGATGATAAGTATTGACTTAGGTGGCTGGCTACCTTTCTAGCTGAAATACCAACTTTTTTCATAAAAAGTTGTTTTATTTTTTTTAACACTCATTCATATCTTGGTCTTTTCTTCCTTCTTCCCTCCTTCATACTAGTAACTATATTCAGATCCTCATTATTTCCTCCTTTCATTTATTTTTAACTCCTTAAATTTCAATACCAAGCTAAGTTTCTAACTTAACTCTCCCTCCTCCCCCCCAAACCCCTCAAATTAGCACCCTCTAGCCTTCAGTCTCACTAGCTCAACCTCTGCTTTGAGCCATAACCACTGAAGTCGGTTTTAGAAATCATGAGAACAATGAAATCACAAATTCCACTTTTATCCAGTTTCTTTCTCCAATATGTAACTTTTCTCTAGATAGACATAAGTAATTTAAAAATTCTGGAACTCATTGTAATTTCCCACGTATTTATACTTAGTTATAGATACCTATATTCTGTATATGATTATTATTTAGATTGGATTGGCTAGAATGTGTTTTGTCTTTGAGATACAGATCAAAGTGATGATCGTCTGCAGAAAAGGTAAATGTCTCTTCAGCATCCTCTCCAACATCCTCTTTATTTTGAGCTTCTATTGTTTTGTTTTTATAAGAATACATTGTGCTTTTATTCATGTACTATTTTGTTTCCACTATTTTGCTCCCACTCCTAGGCTGTAAACCACTGGAAAACATTTTCTGGCTGCCTCTTAGTGCCAAAGCCAATCTAAGTAGATAGTACATAGTATGTAATGGATACTCTTCAATTGTTCGCTGCCAAACAACATCTAATACTTGTGTTGACATAGTGTGAAATACCTTCTTCATGTTTTAACTTAATGGACACAAAACAATTAGGGATAAAACAACTATATTTGTCAAAAAGCATTATAAATCTTAACTTTATTCTTAGCAAATCATGAATCAATTATTAAATCGAGTGTTTAAATATATCATTAAAACACCTTTCTTCAATAAATCATTAACTTAATAAAGATTGTTATAGATATCTTTATATGTAGAATTATATAATTTAAAAAATAATTATAAGTGTAATTATATATATCTATGTATTCAAACAAATAACATATTTAAAAGGTATTTACAGAGGGACTATCGTTTCAGATTATGTATGTTAAAATATTCGATAATGTATTATACCTAGTGGGAATTTAAGGCCCCAAATATAATAATGTATTTTTCAAAGCTTGTTTTGATTATTGTTAATTGATATATTATTCATCAATGAATTAATAAAACCAATTATGTGTCAAATGAAATTATCATGAACTATTTGAATTTAAAACAATATAAAAATGTAGAAAAGCACCTAAATTGTAAGCCCACTTCGTAGATACCTTCATATCATGTCAGTTTTGAGAATCAAAGACACCTTTTTCACATTTTTAAACGGTTAACAACCAATACCTATATTCCTCTTGTGTGAAGCGTGGGATTTCTCCAGGATGTAAGACAAGGATTTTCACTGTGGCGCTGCTGGACATCACAGGTTCACCATCATCAAAAGCAACAACTACCAACTTAAGAAGGAAGAATTATCATGTTAAAGAATAGTACTAAAAAGAAAATTTTTTAAAATCACTTTATTAGGGGCTCATACAACTCTTATCACAATCCATACATACATCAATTGTGTAAAGTGCATTTGTATATTCATTGCCCTCATCATTCTCAAAACATTTCCTCTCCACTTAAGCCCCCGGCCTTAGGTCCTCTAAAAAAAAATTTTAAAGTTACTGTCATAGATATATTTTTAACCATGGCACTGCAGGAATCCAGAATGGGAAGCAATGATTATTTCCTACAGCCTACCAGACAGCAGACACCATACTGGAATACGTCAGGTGTATGCTGACTTAATCTTCACAACAATCTTCCTTGGTAGACGAAATTGCTTTAATTTGCCAAGGGAACAGTCAACGTAGGTAAGTGACTCAATCGAGTGTATCAGACTCTCAGTGAAACTGGTTTAATTCTTCCTCTCTCCAATTATACACCCTTTTCACTTTCCAGACTTCCACTGGAGTCTATAGTAGAAACAGCAACCTTTTTAAGTACCAGTATGTGTACTTAAAATGTATTCAACTCAGTCACATCAACAGAAAATTGCTGTTTCTTGTTTAAAAAATGCATTATTTTATTGTTGCCCATCCCCCTGGGAGGAGGTTATACATCAATCATTGTGATAGGTTCCCCTTTTCTCCCCGACCTACTCCTTACCCTCCTGCTATTGCTACCTCATTATTGGTCTTGAAAGGCTTATGTGTCCTGGATTCCCTGTGTTGCAAGCTCTTATCTGTATGAGTGTACATCCTCTGGTCTAGCCAGATTTGTAAGGTAGAATTGGGGTCATGATAGTGGCGGGGAGGAAGCATTAAAGAACTAGAAGAAAGTTGTATGTTTTGTCAGTGCTATACTGCACCCTGACTGGCTCGTCTCCTCCTTATGACCCTTCTGTAAGGGGATGTCCAATTGACAACAGATAGGCTTTGGGTCTCCACTCCACCTTACCCCTCATTCACATCGATATGATTTTTTTGTTCTGGGTCTTTGATGCTTGATACCAGATCCCATTGGCACCTCATGATCACACAGGCTGGTGGGTTTCTTCCATAGGGACTTTGTTATTTCTCACCTTGTTTAAATTCAAGCCTTTAAGACCCCAGATGCTATATCTTTTTATAGCCAGGCATGATCAGCTTCCTTCACATTTGCTTATGCACTCATTTTGTCTTCAGCGATCGTGTCAGGGAAGGTGAGCATCACAGAATGCCGGGTTATCAGAACAAAGTGTTCTTGCATTGAGGGAGTACGTAAGTAGAGTCCCAATGTGCATCTGCTGTCTTAACACTTAACATACAAATATATCTAAATAGATCTATTTCCCTATCATTATATATAAATATATTTACATATGTATATGCTTGTATTTAGACGTCTATAAATGTCCTTTGCCTCCTAGTTCGTTCCTTGATTTCCTTTTACTTTCCTCTTGTCCCACTATCACGTTCAGCCTTCATGTGGCAGAAACCCCTGCATAACCTCCTCCCAAGGGGGACAGACAACAGAAAAGTGGGTAAAGGGTGACAGAATCTATGTAAGCCATGGGAAAAATAATAATTTATAAATGATCAAGTGTTCATGAGGAAGGGAGGGTTGGGGGGGAAATAAGCTGATACCAAGGGCTCAAGTAGAAATAAAACATTTTGAAAATGATGATGGCAACATATGTACAAATGTACGGATGGATGTTGATTGTAATAAGAGCTGTAAGAGCCCCAAATAAGGTGATTTAAATGAAATACATTATTTTTTCTAATGAATTAATTACCTACAGAATTTAAAACAGAAATACTTTACTCTGTAGGATAAAAGGTAGAAACTTTTATTGTTTAAAAATAAAGAAATTAACAAAAATATTTTAAAAAATCTTTACACTGTATGGCATAAAATGATCAAATTATGAAAACAAAATAAAACTTAAGTTTTATAATAGTGATTTCCAGTGTAATATATTACTTATTACTAAAATTAATTTTATAATTGATCATTTTCTTTGCTAATAATTTCTATATTATACTAATAAGAATTCTGATGTTTCTTTTTAACAAATGTCAAGCACTTTTGAAACTATATTTTTCCATGCGATGTATATTTAGAAGCTACCAAGTACTCATCTAAATGGATTCAACTCGTGTCTTGAATACCATAACCAAGGGTCACCCTGATAACTTCAATTTATCTATGAGCAAATCTAAGTTTACAAATAGAACAATAATTGAAAAGAACAATGAAATCCTGCCTAGTCGAGCTCATGGGTATCCACAAGGTTAAATGATATGGATAGATCTCTAGTATAGTACCAAAGACCTTATTCACATTTTGTTATTCTACCTTGCTGCAAAAAGCTGAAATTCTCAAACATTTAATAAAATGGAAAGTTTATTGTACTAGATCATTTTTTTCAGTATTTATGACATGTAGAAAAATGCTTTAGTTTTTCAGCGACATTAGAATATATCAAGGAGAAAATACATAATAAGTTCATTACAACTCATGATTTCAAAGGGTGGCTAATGGTTACACATGGGGCTGGGATCCTTGGTGGCTAATGGTTATACATGGGGCTGGGATCCTAAAGGCTAGCAGTTTGAAACCTCTAACCACTGTCCTCTCTGCAGGGAAAGACGAGGCACCCCCTCCCCCTGCATACACAGTCATAGTGCAGGGTATTCATGAGGGTGTTTCGACCCCTCCTCAAGGAGCCCCGAAAGCTGGTATCGACTCCATGGCAAGGAGTTGAGATAAATGAAAAATCTACTAATATCTGTTTTCCCCAGAAGATAAAATCAACAATAATACCCAGGGTCGAGCACTCTTAGAAAAACAGATTCTTTTCTGATTGGAAGCACATGATGATTCTGCACACATTATTATTTCAAAAATTCTTGAAGCATAATGAATCAAGAATGCATTAATTTGATGCAGCTTCTAGTACTTAAGCAGGAGGAACAATGTTGTTCACACAAAGTGGTTCATGACAACTGACAAGTATAAAAGGTAAAAGCACTCGACAGTCAATAGCAGGTTGTTAGATTAAAATTTGAAACTCCTGGTATAATCATATAATAGAAGATCATATAACCATTAAAATAATGGCATCAATGGAACTATTGACCTGGAAAACAATATAGCCTTAAATTAATAAAACAATAAGAATAGTACACTTGTGTAATTTCCAAACATATATATGTTTTCCTATATTTGAATAAGACATCATTATAAAGATACAAAATTTTAAAAAGACGTTCTAATTTTATCTGAGGTGTGAGATACCAAGTGACAGCTTTCTTTTTACTTACCTGTATTTTTAATGTTTCTATAATTGTACATGTGTTGTTTTCTAATTTGAGGAAAATTTAAAAGGAGAAAAGGAAAAATATTGCCATCTCTAAAGGCAAATTCTTATGCAAAAGGTCAGTAACAATGAAAAATGAAGGGATAATGACACACTGACCTTGAAAATGGTAGTGGGTTCTTCATTAATATTGACCCGCGTTATTACCAGTCCAGAGTCATCTTCTACATCAAAGATACTGGCAGGGTAAGGAAACAGGACATCGTCTACTCGATAGTGCACCCGGCTTGCAGGCATTCCCTACAATGAAAGTAGAGATGATTAAATGGGACTGATAAAATTCAAAGATAGTAAAAATATTCAACTGATTTGTCAAATGTATGGTTCTTTACCACTGAAAAATCACATTTCATGTTTTGTATTGCAGATTGCATAAGCTCCAATACTGAAGGATAACTCATTCTGAATCAATGAGATGTCTTTATGACAGTCTTGAAACATAATTTATGAAAGAGGTTAAAAGGAATTTATATATTTGAACATCTATCTTCGCTTACATTATATAAATCACATTTTCTTCCCAAAAAACTCCGTATCTCCTTGCTATTTAATTTTCTGAGAAATTTTAAGTTTTATTATCATTATATTCATATGAGTTCTGTGTGTGATACTCGGAGAAAGAAAGTATGGCTGATTGTGGTGAATTGAAGAAATAAGCTTTAAATGGAAAGGAACTAATATCATTTGCTATCTATCCTGTGGGATTCCTCTTCTTACATATTTAGCTAAATCACTTAATTTAATCCTCACAATAATTTTTAGGATAACATTAATAATAATGATGATAGTAGTGCTACTAAAATACTGATCGCAAGTATTTGCTTAATGCTTACTATGTGTCAGGAACTATACTACAGATAATTTTTTACTCTTACATTCATTTTACTGCTAATGAACTTGAGACATGGAAATTTAATGAATGGTAAATCGTTCTATACATATGCAACAATAAGTTAAAATACCATAAAATGATGCATTTCAAAAGAAAAAATATGTTGGGCTTCTTATTAAATAAAGATCCAAATGTTTTAGTGTTCCTATTGCTGTATTTTGAAAGTATATGAGCCAGGCCTTTCTTCCTAGTGTCTCCGTCTGGAAGCTCTGCGCAGACCTGTTCAATAACACAGTGATATGCAATCCTCCACCGACAGCCACTTTGTGGCTGAACTGTTGTTATACTAGCTGGGATCCAAACCCAAGGTTTGCATAGAGACTAGAGTCTTTTCACTGAACCACCATTGGGTTCTTTTAATGTTTAGAGCAAATATGGCTCTTCGCCTTGTCTTAGAAGTAATTAGTCAAATTTGACTTTTAATCCATGCAGACCATCAATATTAAAGAGACAAGAAGCAATATTTTTATAAACTGTTTTATTTTCAAATTTTGATACAGTACATTCATTTATAAAATGTGATAGAATCTCTCGAATATATATATAAAAATGAAAAATACAAACAAAAATGTTGCTGTCAAGTTCATTCCTACTCCTGGTGAAGTAACAAACAGAATAAAATCACTAAGCAGCATTTCCAAATCCTCTCATAAGCAAACTGTCATAACTTTCTCCCATGCAGTGGCTAGTAGGTTTGAATCACCACCCTGTATGTTAGGAACCAATAATTTAATCACTGGGTCACCGGGGCTCAATATATAAACATAGGCTAATAAAGTATCTTCTTAAAGTTTATACTAATTTGAACCTATTTCTTTGGCTACTGAAACTTATTTTTATGTTTTTCTTATGTTCTGAAAAACCTTGCAAGGCCTTTGTTTATGTTCTGAGACACCTTGGGAAGTCATCAGTTGTCTTTCTGTCTTAGAAGCTACTACGACTTAGTCATAGACATTAAGCCATAGAAATGACTATGACTAAACCATAGCACCCACATGCCTTTTAAAAATTGCCCTACATACACCAAAACCAGAAAAACACATGACAGCGAGTCAAGAATGCTACCAACAATATAGGTGAATTTATAGAGACAACTAGAAGAAGGGTTCTTGGGGGGTACGAAGGGGGAGGAGGGGTTGGAGGGAGCTGACAGCAAAGGGTTCAAGAAGGAAGACAGAGTTTGGGACTGCGTGTGGTCGCGATTGTAAAACACTGCTTGCTGTGATTGAACCGTGGAAGGTATGAAGTCTGGATTAGCTCTTGGTTTGTGAAAAAAATAAAAGTCTTACACAGGAAAACAAAACACAGAACAATAACAATGATCAAAAGAAAAAGAAAAGAAACATTCAATACATTTTTAAGAACCCCAGTGTATTATTTAAAGACTTTGTCAACTGGAAAGGCTCTGCCCTATAAGTAAACATTTGATGAAATAAAATCTCATTCCATTATTCTCTTCAGCTTAATATAATTCTTCATAGTTTGAAGAACATTTTCAACACTTGGTGGTATTTGTACTACTGTTAGGCATTCTTTTCTGAACTTTAATACATTTTTTTGTTTCCCGTGTTTTTTCAAAACTTATCAGAGTTGTTTTGGGAATGTATTCAAACTCTGGATTCCAATAAATAAAACAAATCATAGAATCACTTTATGAACCCCTTCAGAGAAAACAAACACTTTGGAAATCAAACCCGTGAATACATTTAATGTCATTTTTTAGTTCTGTTGGTTTAATCACAATGTCTCCTTATTGGCACAGATACTTTAATCAGATGAAGTAAAATGTCTTTTTCATTCCAAAAAAGAGTTATTTTCAAAAAGAGATTACAAAACAGTCTTCCATTCAACATAATTTATAGAAAGTTAGGTGGGAAATTTATAAAATATATGCAATGTAGTTTGAGGAAAAAGAAACTATTCAAATAATTTGTGAGATTTGCTGTATTTGCCAAGCCAGCAGGAAAAAAGTAATGGAAGGGAAATTTTGTAAAAAGAATTAACCAAGACACAAACATTAATTTCATAGGAAAGTGGTGAGAGTTATCTGCAGAGATTCGCTTCTCTGCAGGGAGGGGTTGCTAAGGGAAGGTTGCCTATCACTCCGCCACGTGGAGGTTTTTAGGGGAAATATAAGGAATTCATTTTTTAAAACTTTACAGAAACTGAGACTATGTGAAAAGTCCACTGGGGCAGGGATTTTCTGTGGCTGTTGTTTGTTTTTCACATCTTCTCATGACCATGACTGTATGAAGTAGATGAAGTAGAGCCAACTTCATCTATTAGAGCAACAGCTCTGTTATGAAGAAACAGATAAAATATTTTCAAAAGGCCGAGGAAGTGCTAGTACAGAATTCTCCTAAGGTCAACTTCTCATCACCAAAAGATTATTAGAATTTTTCAGAGTTGAAAAGTGTCCTACTTTCCATTGGAAGAATCTTTTTTTCTTAAACAACACGTTCAAAATGAAATCATGATAGTATTGAAAGCTTAACCATTTCTGTCCTTGATTTAATAGCAAAGATGACAATTAAAATTAACCTCAACTGAGCAAGTCTCCAGCGTCATGTTGCTTGCCTTTAGACAACGCATCTGAAACGATGGCTGAAAATGCTAGTACCGTGGAACTAAATGATCATAAACTTATTCTACATGGCATCTAGGTTTCATAATTAAATTAAAAGATCAGTTCAAAATGTCATCAATATGTTATACCTTATTACCTATCATCTTGCTGGTATGTTTACATCTGTTGGTGGCGGTTCTCAGTGAGTTGCCCCTGGCTCTTGGTGAAGCAGATTATCTGACTGACCCTTTTTCCTGCAGCATCACTAGGTGGTTTTAAACTACAAATATTTATGTTAGCAAATGATCACAAACCACTTGCATCATGCAGGTAATGTTCATTACTTACCTATGAGTCTCATTCATTCATTTAGACATTTCTTTACTCATTGGTACACTTACTGACTGGGCTTCAGGCTTGGCGATTATGAAAAATAATGAGTTCACCACCAAATGGAGGAGACGGAACTCATCACATTTAAGCGGGGGTGGAGGGAGGTGGGGGAAAAGGGGGACTAGGGGAAATCAAAGGGTTCAAGTTTCCACAAACTATTTGAAGTCTTCTCATAGACTTTACTTTCTGATTCATTATCAAATGATTTAACATTTTAAAACCCTGAGCTCATTCTCACCTCTGGGAGTAAACGACTCTGAGTCAATTCATATTTGATTGTATTCCTAGAACATATTCTTATAAAAATTTATGTTACTAATGTATGTTTAGGGTTTTCTCATGTATCTCTGTCTCCCTCAACTTTGAGTTTCCTTACAGCAGAGGTTTGCTTCCCCACTATTTACTCAGAATATAGAATAGTGCCCAGTGTACAAGCAGACATTAGTGAAAACTGAAGTGAACCTTTACCGTACGGTGTGATCAGCACTTAAATATGGATGCATGCTGAGCTCAGCAGATCCACAGCTCCAGGTGGTCATCACTCATAGAGACTATTATGAGATATCTAGGTGAATTATGGTAGGTGCCCTGATTCTATAAAAACCTAGAATCCATGCTCTTTTTTGTAGTAACTGCAGATAAACAGTTGGAAGGCTTAAATAAAGTAAAATTTGGAGGAGAGGATTTATAGAAAAGGTGATATTGGATGCAGAGCTCTCAAAAACAGAAAATAGGTGGAAATAAATAATAATTATTCATTTTATTTTTTTTATTTTTTATTTTTTATAATTATTCATTTTAAAAGATTCCTCAACATAGTTAGAGAAATGAGACTGTCAGCATATACATCCCATGATCCAAAAAGGAACAGAAGAAAATATTCCCAAAGCAATGACTGCTTTAACAATAGCATAGCAGATGGTATATGCATGTGGCTAAGAACATGTTACCAATTCTTATACTTCTATTATTATTTAAAAAATGTTTACACAGGGAAAGAATGATCAAAAAGTTTATTTAGATGATTAAAAAATTAGCTTTTGGCATTTGCAGAATTTAATTTTAAGCCTGGTAAAAGAAATTTTTGTTTTAAATTTTATAAATTACATATTGGGAATAGTTTTGTTAAAATTTTCTTTAAAATATTCTGTGCTAAAAGTTGACATATAAGATATGATTTATGGTCAAGGGGTAGGTAGATAATGCTTTTATAATCATCTTAAATTCCAAAGAGTGTAAGTCATTATTATGCTTTCAAATAACATCTATACAAATTATTATGAGCTTAGAAACAGAAATATGTCTACCTTTATGAGGTTCTCTAAAACTGACTATAAATTATCAAAAAGTCTAAGTCATGATAAAAAGCAATTTAGAAAACTTTTTGAA